AAAGGAGAAGGAGGTTGTGGGAGTCCAGAGAGATCTAGATCTTAGATAAAGGCCTTTTAAACAATTGTCAAAGAAGCCAAAGAGGCTTGAGGGCAAATGTTTCCTGTATTTTCGGAACCATGTCATTGTAAGAATGGTCTAGTTGGCTGGTTTCCATTTTCCAGTTCCTCTCAGGAAAATCTAGTGAGGATACGCATGTGACTGGCTTCGAAAAGATTACACACTTTTTTTTTTTTGGGAACAAAAAAAGGTTTAAATGGGGTAAACTTTTTTTTTTTACAAATACATTAGAGAATCATGCAATGCTGCCAGCATTGGATGCAATCCTGGGCCACAGGTCTGCACACTCCTTTGCAATTGGTCCAGTGATGGCAGACTTAAAATTTGACATTTTTGTCTTTTGTACCTTTTGCTTTTAAGCAGAAAATTGTGCCTGGTCAAATCCTCCCCTTCCCTCACAGCAATCCTACTGATTCTAGTCCCAAAGAGATTTCAAACCTGTTCCTCTTTTCCATCTTTAAGGTGCCTCCTTGTGCCGCTCTCTGCTGCAGCGTCTCTGCAGTCCTCCATCTTCCACTCTTGCCCTTATAGCCCCATCTCACTCAGTAACCAGACTGATTGCTGTCATCTTGGTATTACCTTCCATCCTGGCTTCCCAGAAGCCTTATGAAACCCAGATTTATTATTGCCTGTAAAAATCCCAACTTCAGGGTTGCAGATTCGTGGTCTGGAGTTCTGGGCCATAGATAGGCTTTGTTTGGAAAGCTTTAGGAACAAGTGGGGACTAAGGGAATCCTCAGTGGTCCTACCTTACCCCTAAGGGCAATGAAAGGAAGCCCGCAGAAGCTATCCCTATAGTCAGGTGTTTGACATCTCCTGTTAACTCAACTCAACTCCACTCCACTCACTGTCATTGAGTCTGAACCAATTTATAGCTGACCCTCTAGCGGGTTTCTGAGGCTGTAAATCTCATAGCAGAAGAATGTTCCTCTTTCTCCCAAGGAGCCCTGATTGGATTTGAACCATCAAACAGGAAAGCCTTCCAGTTAGCGGCACAGCTTCCCGTGAACAATGGCATCACAACATCCTCTAAATGCAGACCTTCTTCCAACCAGACTCCGACTTACTTAGCCTTTAGGAATCAGTGGGTTAAGTTTGCTTTTTGAGTCTGACAGTCCTAGATTTAAATCCTGGCTGATTTAACAAATCTCTGCTTCAGCTTACCCATCTGCACACGAAGATAACACTAATTAACATTTTATCTGAAATGGTTACTGTGATAGCTAAATAACCCTACAGGCTTAGACTGGCGGTTCAGAGGCACTCAGTCAGTGGTGGTGCCCCCAAGACCCAGAGACCTGCTTCGGTAAAGGTTACAGTCCCAAACCCCCAACGTTGTCGTTCTCGCTAACCGTCAGAGTTGCATCTAAGTGCTCCAGGTGTGTAAGAACAGATTGTGCGGTAAAGAGGTTTCGTTTTTGATACAAAGCACTTTACAGTGACAACTACACTCTTGCTCACAAGGTCATCATGGGTTAAGTTTCCCCTCAGGATTCTGGGCAAGAACAACTTGGTGCAGAGAGGATGCTAGTGCAAGCAGAACATGGACCTCGTATGGCTACTCCCAGGTTCTTGCAATCTTGCTCTTTAAAGTCCAACTTTCAGTCCCAGGGGTACAAGCAACACCATCCTGGGACGTGTCACAGGCGTGCATCCCGCGTGTCAGCTTCCGCCTGCTGTCAATAAAGTTCATTTGAATCTACTCCAGACGTAAGGAAAAGGTCATCTCACACGCAGTCTCTGCCCCGCCCCTTTGTGGGCGGGACACGCAGGCGCCGCGCCCCGTGACTGGACCGCGGCGGCGGGGGAGGCGGGTTCTGTCCACACCCGCCGGCCCGACTGTGTTGCTGTCTTAAGGCGGCGGCTAGAGGCGGCTAGAGGACACGGGAAAGATGGCGGTGGTGTCAGGCCTGGTGAGGAGGCCGCTCCAGCAGGTAAGCAGCCCTCGGAGCCCTCGGTGAGTCCCGATAAGACTGCCCACCCTGCTTGACCTCTGAACGCCTGTCCTCTCTCTGCCCGCAGGTATCTGGGTTGCTGAGGAGGCGATTCCACCGGTCGGCGCCGGCGGGATTGCAGGTAACTGGCCAGAGCGGCGTGGGAGCGCTCGTCCTGGGCCGAGGGTCGGGATCTCCGTGGCCGGCGGCGACCACAGGCGGGGGTTCAGCGGGTCCCGGCCAGACTTTTGCCTTGTCCTCTTTAGAGAGAATGTAGCTTCCCCCTTGTCCTTCAAAACTCTGCAGACAGCACTTTCTCTAGGAAGCCCTCCTGATCCCCAGATGGGCTTAGGACCCCAGGCCCCTAACCCCACGGGAGCTTTGGGAACCATCAGGTGTCGCCTGACGCCAGTCACCCCAGAATGTCACACGCTCGGGACTGTCAGGGATCAGATAGATGGGCTGGCAGTGAATAAAGGGCTGACAGTGTTCTGTTACGTGGCCCAAACGCCCACATCTCTCTGCTTTTAATTAGAAGATTCTGCCAGCCTGTGTGGTAAAATGACGATTGGTGTGAAGGTTAAACAGCATCTTCACGGGAGTGTTCGGCAGTACTTGGCACCTAGTGGATGCAGAAACTTAGTATCAGTTATGGTGACCTGACAGTCTCAGCTTCACATGACATCAAGTGTCAAAAAGTGACAAAAAGCAGCTCAGTATATATAGTTTCTGTTTAGGACTCCGCCGGTGAGCTTGTCTGGTAAGGGATTCATTTTTCTTAAGCCATGGAACATACGCAGTAAGATTGTCAGTAACACACCCTGGGCCAGCTTAAAATGGCTTTCAGAATCTCTGAGCTTTTTATAGAAAAGCCTGTTCTACTGTTAGTTTGTTTATCATGTACTGTGAGCGGCTTAGGTAAGTATAAAGGGAGAGAATCTCGGAATAATTCTTAGCTTATGGACTCTCCCATATCTGTGACAGGTGACAGTCCGTGATGCTATAAATCAGGGGATGGATGAGGAAATGGAAAGAGATGAAAAGGTTTTTCTGCTCGGGGAGGAAGTTGCCCAATATGACGGAGCATACAAGGTAATCAAAAGATGTGAAAGTTCTACAAAATTGAGGTGGCCATTTGCTCCCAAGTATATTTAAAAGTAATTGAAACCACTCTAATAATAGGTTAGTCGAGGCCTTTGGAAGAAATACGGAGACAAGCGGATCATAGACACCCCTATATCTGAGGTAAGCCTGCTATCAAGAGTCTGACTTTTGAGGCGCAAGTTGGTTAAAGTTTACACTGTTATTTTTATGGATTGTCACTCATTCTGGGCTTTGCTTTTTAGATGGGCTTCACTGGAATTGCTGTTGGTGCAGCTATGGTATGTAATACTGTAGAAAGACTCACTTCCCCACCAGAGCACCCTCAGTAAAAATTACAGCCTTGGAATTTGTAGGCATTGGAGCTTAGATGATATGATAAGGGGCTGCACTGTCATCCCAAAGAGATTGCTTTTAAAAACATTGAATGGTAGGGAGTGGTTTGTTATTCTTCAGTGTTGTTTCAGTCTTTGTAACACCTTTGTTTTTGACTTGACAGGCTGGGTTGCGGCCCATTTGTGAATTTATGACCTTCAATTTCTCTATGCAAGCCATTGACCAGGTTATAAACTCTGCTGCCAAGACTTACTACATGTCCGGGGGTCTTCAGTCTGTGCCTATAGTCTTCAGGGGGCCCAATGGTGCTTCGGCAGGCGTGGCTGCCCAGCACTCACAGTGCTTTGCAGCCTGGTATGGGCATTGCCCAGGCTTAAAAGTGGTCAGCCCCTGGAATTCAGAGGACGCAAAAGGACTTGTTAAATCAGCCATTCGGGATAACAATCCAGTTGTAATGTTAGAGAATGAATTGATGTATGG